CCCTTCAGTTCTTGGCGACCCCAGCGCAAGTTCCTCGCACGGACAATCCATCCCCGCTCCGTCCTCAGCTCCAGGGCCCGCGCCCTCTTCCTTGGGCTCCACTGGGCCCTCGTCTTCTGCTGGGCCGACCCAGCTCGCGGGTCCCTCTTTATCTGCTGGGCCACCACAGCCCATCGGGGTTGAGATCTCCTCCCCCTGCCCACTGCCTCCAGGCCTCGGGCTCCCCCTCCTCTCCTCCGCACCCACAAAATGACTACACGGCCCATGATGGGATTTATAAGCCCAAGCGGCTATTTTCAGCCAATTTTACCACTCGAACTCCTCCGCTAGAGCCTTGGTCTGTCAAGGAAGCTATGCAATATTCTGAATGGGATAACACACTCCACACGGAACACTCTGCTCTTCTTCACAATCACACATGGGATCTTGTGCCTCGTTAGCCTCATTATAATGTTCTTGGCAACAAATGAGTTTATCGCATTAAACATCATTCTGATGGCTCCATCAATCTATTCAAATGCCGACTGGTTGCCAAGGGGTTTCATCAGCGCCCCGGTGTGGATTTTCAGGATACTTTCAGCCCAGTGGTCAAACCGGTAACCGTCCGTACTATGTTTTCAATTGCTCTCTCCCAGAATTGGAATGTTAAGCAGTTGATAGCACCGTATTTGCACATATTTGCACTCTTGTTTCCTTACCATTTTAGCTCGGATTTTTGGTTCCTTGGCCTATTTTATGCTAGGTTGTGTTGTTTTGTCGTATTTCAGGTCCTAGCATGTAAATTGAAGCAAAGGCGCAAGTTTCCAGTCAATCGGAATTCATTTGGCAATTTGGGAGAAGAAACACGAGCATGACCTGAGGAATAATGGACTTCTACCTCATATTATGAACAAATAATCATGGAAGTTTGTCATGAAAAGAAAGATGACGAGACTACGAGCGTCTGGGATCAAACGGCGACTGATTCGGAGTCCGGACGAGGGAGAAACGAAGCATTAAACAGGAGCGGAGGAAGAAATACGGGCATCCCCTGCCCAATTACGGGCGTAATTGCCTCTGCCCTGACCGTAAATGCAATGTCGAGCCAAATCCCTGAGAATGCCTTCGAAGGTCAAATTACGGGCAAGAGCAAAATGAACTACGGCCGTAATTCCACAAATACTGGCAGTAATTGGGTAATTACGACCGTAATTCCTCTCATCAGTGTTAAGTGAAACGCGCGTTTAGGGTGAAATACGGGCAGGCCATATTTACGACTGTAATTCAGCCCGTATTTCGCCCAGAATCGGGTTTTTGAGGCAGATTCGAGCCAAAGTAGAGAGAGTCGACTTTTTGGAGCAAAAACCGAGTTTTAGAGAGAGAAAGTGCGAAAAAAACCCTAGGAGCTATTTGGAGTGGATTTCTCACCATTGAAACCCAGATTGCATCCCCAGGAGTGAAAATCATCATCCCGGAGCAGATTATCCTCATCTTTATGAGTATGACTACTCTGATTTCTGTTTTCCTCTCTCTCTCTATGGAGTAGAACCTTCTCTCACTGGGGTATGAAGAACCCTAGTTCCATGTGTTAAGGATCTTGATTGTAATGACTTGGGATTGTTATACTGATTGATTTCAATTGATTGATGCATGATTCATTGAGTCAATTGAAGTCTGATCATCTTTTCTTGATTTATGCTGCAACCTGAGATAGATAGAATCTGATTAGGTTGTTAGAGCTCCATCAATCGGTAGTGGTTTGATTATACGAGAGTTAATCGATTTACTGCTTTGTACTGGAATATAATACCAGTAGTGGAGTTCTGTGTTCATAGCCTCAACTTTCTATCCCGGTGAAGACTAGTCGTCTGCCGGGTAGTCGGACTGAGAGGGCTTGGTCAGCTTAAGAGATTCCAAGCTACTGTTGGATCTTTCGCAGTTTAATCAACAGTTAATCAACCCAGGGTAATTACAACCTCAACCTAACTAAGGAGCTAGGGGGACTCATTCCCGAGTGACTCTCCCCTTGCGAAAGAACTTTGAACCATTTCCTGCTTTCTTACTGCTTTTAGTTAAAACCACAATCACTCGACTTAGTTTGCTAGATAATAAATAATCACGGAGTAGGCAGTAGATCTAGGCCCCGGGTTGACAAATAGAGCTTGCCACTTACTGTATTTTCATACTACGATTGCACTTGGGCACAGTTTGGTGTTGTGTTTTAGTGTGTCAGCAGTTTGATGTCAACAATGTTTTTCTTCAAGGGCCTCTCGAAGACGAGGTATATATGGTTCAACCTCCGGGATTCGTTGACCCTGAACATCCTACTCATGTTTGTCGCCTCCGTCGTGCCATCTATGGCCAGCGTCAGGCACCACGGGCATGGTACACTGCTCTCAGCTCCTTTCTCCTCGAGTTGTCGTACTATACTTCCTGGTCTACGTGGATGATTTACTGCTCACCGGGAATGATGCTGCCACTCTCTCTACCTTCCAGCTGGCACTGACGCACAGGATCTCCCTTAAGTAACTCGGGGATGTTAATTAATTTCTCGGCATTGAGGTGATTTCCACAACTACTTGATATTTACTTTCTCAATACAAGTACATGACTGACATCCTCACTCGCTTCAATATGTTGGATGCCACACCGGTCACTACTCCCCTCGCCTCCTCTGCCACTCTCTCCCTGTGCGATGGTACATCTCCGACAGATGCCACTCGCTTTTGCCAGGTTCTGGGGGCGCTCCAGTATCTTGTCTATACACGTCCTGACATTGCCTTTGCCGTCAACAAGCTATCTCGGTACATGCATGCTCCCACATCTCATCATTGGTAGTGTCTCAAGTATTTGCTTCGGTACATTTGTGGTACTATCTCCTATGGCCTCGCCATTCGGCGCACCTCTCAACCACTACGTCTTACGGCCTTTATTGATTCTAACTAGGCTGGTAATCTCGATGATCACACCTCCACCTCTGCCTATCTTGTCTACTTGGGCTCCACTCTCATTTCCTGGCGTTCCCAAAAGCAACACACAGTTGCTCGTTCGAGTACCGAGGCTGAATATCATGTCATAGCTCATGCTGCTGCTGAGCTCGAATGGGTTCAGAATCTCTTGACCGAGCTTCATCAACCGTTACCGGCCTCACCTACACTTTTATCCGACAATCTGGGAGCCACCTGTTTCAGTGCTAATCCTCTATTTCACTCACGCATGAAGCATTTGGCGCTTGACTTTCATTTTGTCCGTCAGCTGGTCCAGGTCGGCCGCCTACGTGTGAGTTACATCCCCACTGCTCATCAGCTAGCCGACACTCTCACGAAGCCGCTTCCTGCCTCCCGTTTCTCCTTCTACGGTCCAAGATTGGCGTCGTTGACACCTCCTCCATCTTGCGGGGGCGTATTAGAGAAAAAAGAAAATGAATAATAATTCTTTTTATTGTACCTATTATTCAACCATTACCTCTGTACTCTCTCCCTTTTCTCTGTACACGTTCCCACTCACTCTCAATAAACTCTCTTGTAAAAGTGTATAAAATGAAACTGAATACAGAGATGAAGATCATGGTCGTATCAATATTCTCTCTACAACAAATTCGATTTCCTAACACTATAGAGGTACAGGCAAGAAATGCATTGCACCCGTGATGTGAGATTCGCAGAATTGTGACCTTTAATTGAACAATTAGCTCCTTCGTTTTGACCAGTTAAATTATGCTAGGAAGTTTGTTTGAGCGTTCTTGGTTCTGTGGCTAGTTGGCGCATTTTTGTCGAACGTTTCCCCAATTGTGGATGGGTTTCTTTGGTCCATGAATGTTAACTTGATATTCGATGCAATGGGTTCTTCATTCGTTCATTAATGTATAGGCTCATCATGATAGAGAAGCTAAGTGTCCAACTTGAACTTATACATTTAATGTTATGATACAACTTTAAGTTGTACATTAAAACACCAATACTTTATAGCATAGTAAAAAGACTCCCAGACTTCTAGAGTACTTTCCTTACAAGTCAGTGTGGTATTGTTATTCACGTAGCTTCTGTTTTCAAACCGAATATTTGCACACAAGAATTCGAACGTCAAGATTGGTGTATTGTGAACCGTTGGCATGCTTTGTGAGGAAAAATTCGAGACAATAACAACATTTGGAATTTGTTCTAGCAAATTTTGGAGTTGATCGTCTCTCGTCCACAAGGGATTGATGATGTTCTACGCGTGAGGATCCCACAACTTGTGGGGATGGTTCAGAAATCGCTTTCTACATGCTTTTATTTCGTAAATATAGAGAGAGCGGAATGTGAGATCGTAAAAAAAAATCATGGCAGATAACGTTTCATAGCATTGGCCGAACATTAATAAAATGGATTGCTAGCTATAGGAGGTTTGGTTTGTGATAAGAATAAAAGGGAATAGCTTTATCAATTGTCGATAGTGTGTCCCATAAGGCCATAACGCAAGATTCACCACTTGTAGTTGCAAGGACGACAACTTAGCTTATGTTGCTTTCCCCATTTGAATGAATGTGGTCTTGCTATGAGTCGCAAAAAATAAGTAATTTATGTTGAAATTTTATACCTTTTTAGGTTCGTTATGTTATTGAGGGGTTGGTTTTTCGAGTTATGTTGGCAGAAATTTAACATCTTAATTTCCCTCTCAATAAATCTTTTTTTAACAAGGAGTCGTGATACTGTTGTTTTTGCTAGTAGTAACTCTTTTTTAGGTGGTTAATGAGTTGCTCTAGTTTCGTTGATTACTTGGTGAATTTTGTGTATATATCTCAGTCTGGTCCAACTCCTCATAATATAATTAGATTGTCTTGCATATATATATATATATATATATATATATATATATATATATATATATCACTAATAGTCTTATCGTTTATGAACACACTAAGTACGTAAATGGTTTCTTTATTTGGAAGCGCTAGTAGTTTCTACTTTCTCGTGATGTCGCATCACGTTAAACTAGCAAATCTCTTCACCAAAAGTCGGAGAGTTGATGAGTTTTGTTTTCAGTATCCAAATTAAATATTAGTAACATACATTGTTCAACTTGCGAGAGTGTATACGGCACAGGTTGGGCCTGTGCTTGAGGCACAACAACCCAAAACTCACGTCAAGTGAAGAGTCGGATGCAAAGACCATGCAACCCAAGATGCATGAAACTGGATATATATCCTAATATAACCTAGGATAGAACAAATTAAATAACCGTATGTGTATCTCATTTTTCACTGACCAAATGACTACTCCTATTGGATATACAAAATTCTAAAGTACCCCTAAAGAAAAACAAATTACACTTAGAAGTGTTGTCTACGCCCCTTTCACAGGGTGTTTAGTTACGAGAATCTTCCACTTGCTTTGCAAATATAATACATTATAGAGAATAAATCATGAAGAACTACGATGGACAGAACTAATGTCTCTTAATTAGAAGTTCTCCTTGTGGAAATGGAACCGGGTTGTTGAATTCAGACTGAAATCCTGGCAGAGTTCCCTTAATGTCTTCACTAAGGCCACACTCCCGCAGTAGAACACCCCTGCATTTCAAATTACCCACACAAATTGAAGAAAAACAAAGAAACCAAAACCACAGAATATTAGAGAACAAAAGAAAGACTACACACACACATACCTATATGCGAAGATGGATGTGCCTTCTCCAAATCCGAGAAAACCCTTTTCCAGTTGGGTCTTGCGAAGTGTGTTCTTATCTGTACGTAGCCATAAACAAAGCTTAAGATTAAAATTTGACACATTTCCCTGTTGAATATGATAAAAAAAAGAGGTACATACTCGACTCTGGGAGACAATATCGACACCGTTTTTGGCATGCTGAAGCTTCTGAACCATGGCGATGAGTGCCGACCGGGCGTCTCCTTCCTCGTACACGCTGGTCAGGTAATTGTGCATCTCAATTATATGCTGCATGCATGCATGCATGCATTGTTGTCACGACCAGTTATCCACGTACAAAAAAACCAAAAGAATATAAAAAGAGTGCAGTATGGAAAAACCCACATTGCGATCGTACTCCGCAATGTCGTCCATCACACCCTTGAACCAATCGAACGACGCTTGTTCTCTGGTCACCCAATAGAAGTAGGCTCTCTCCGGGTACTTCTTGGACGCTTGCTCCACTGAAAACTCACCCTGCAAGCAAGCATGCATGCAAGAGCCACGTGTCACTACCAATTCATCAATAAATTGAAGCCGAGTTGTCAGTTAAATGGGCCGGGCTTACTGGCTTCATTGGTCTAAGCCCATTGAGGAGGTCCTTTATGATGCTGACAAAAGGAGTGGCTCCGATCCCTAACCCTACCAGCAGCAATATGTCGTACTTGTTGTAGTTCTGGGCCGGGGCACCGAATGGGCCTTTCACCAGGATCGTCGGAAACCTACACCAAACAATTAAATAGGTTTCACTTATGGTGCTGAAACTATCTTCTACTTACGTTTTGTTTAAACCTACGTACGTCTTCTGTATTTCCTTGTAGTTAGAGTCGGACACGTTTCTGGTCTCCATTCTCATCAGGTTCATTGATCTGGGTTTCGCTTCCTGGGGAGGCTCGCAAACTTTGGCGAATATGGTCTTCATTTCCGTCGTCCAGTCACCTAGTGTTCTTATGTGGACGCTCAAGTAGTCGTCATCCGGTGCCGATGTTATTGAGAAGGGATGCCTATATATAGTTCCAATTCAAACATGTTAATAAGAGACAACATTGAAACTATTAATCAAATTTGTCATTAATATATATACGTACCATTCGAAGCTGGAGATGTTGGGGCACTTAACGAAGATGTACATCCCACTCTTGTACTTGAAACCCATGGGTTTTGTCATGTACAATGCCAGAACATTTCCCGAGTATATAACTGCCTGCATTCACCACTCCCAATATTAAGAAAATGTATAAAAAAAAAACGAGTAATTTAATCAAATGTTGAGGATCAACCTTAATTATTGTGACCGGCTCTGTGCGCTCCCTGTATGATAGAAACACTCTTTCTAAGGCATACAAAGTCACTGGACCACCTATATACATCCACGTCTGCATCAACGTAAAAAAGATCATCAAAGGATTAAGATATAAGGTTATTGTTGCTATCAACGGCGGACCCAGAATTGTTGAACAGGGGTGTCGCCTAATGAAGGAGTATCAACTATAATTATTAAAATGGTGTCGAAAATTTCGTATTAAATTTTTTTGTACAAAAAAATATAGGTTCTTCACAAAATTTTCGGGCGAAAGGGTGTCGGACGACACCCCTCGCCAACAAGTAGGTCCACCTCTGGTTGCTATGACTTGAAGACAGGCTATCTGGTGTTGATTGGGGGATGTATGAGCTTATATACATAATAGAGGTGGCAATTGGATCGGATTCGTGGATTGGTGGATTGGATTGGTGGATCTATGGATCAAATGGATTGGATCCAATGGATTGGTGGATTCATGGACTGGATCCAATGGATTGGTGGATTGATCCATGAATCCAAATAACATCCAAGGCTTGGACCAAAATGTAAATTTTGAAAAGTTTAGGTACTAAAATGTCATAATGAAAAATTTTAGGTACCAAAATGTAAATTTCCAATGATTTTTTTCGTATACAAATATAAATTTTGGGTACCAAAATGTAAACTATTAAAAATATAGGTACCAAATCATAATTTGCCATTTGGATCCATGGATTGATCCATGAATCCACCAATCCAATTGGATTTGGATCAAATGGATTGGATTTAAATGGATTGGATTAAGTGGATAATTTGGTGGATGGATTGGATTGGATTCATGAATTTGGATCCTAATTGCCACCTCTATATACATTTGTTTTACTGTTTCAAACTTGTTCTGTAACATTTTTCTTTCCATGTTCAATTAGGACTAACCCATATGAAGGTGTCATATCTATATTCTTAATCTTTGTAATATGTATCTCCTTAAATATAGTGATCTTGTCTCTCTCCTGCTACCTGTAGTTCACTAACACATACCTAAATCTAAGTGTTTTTTACTTTCTTTTATTGTCGATTTCTCAATCCGTTCTCACGGTTATTACCAGACTTAGGGTGTGACATGAAACTTTTTTAAATGAATATTGGTTATGTACGTACCGTCTTCTCGTACCAAGGCTTCTCGGTGAGCAAGAACCAGCCATGCAAGAAGAGCAGAACATACGCCACGGCAAGCAAATGGTGAGCATACCAGAACGCATTAAACCCAGCCAAGTTATGAAACATCCCGGGCAGCTTCACCACGTTCCTCCGAAACGAGTGCGTCGCCAGCGTGAACGAGAACGCCATGATCAAATCCATCAGAACCCCGGTGACGCTTATGGAATGCTCCATCAGAGCCCCATACGTCGGCTGGTGGTAGTCGAACGCTTTCCCGACCAAGGAGTCGAACCTGTCCTTAGGGCACGACGCGAGGAGCGGGTAGTTGCACGCCACGTGTGCCACGGTGTGGACCAACGAGGCGACTGCCACGGCGACGGAGATGACCTTGTGGAAGTTGATGTTGTCGTCGAACGGGATGAACCGGCCCATGACGGTGGAGCGGAGGGAGGTGAGGGTCCGACGGCAGACGGGGACGAGGATGAGTGCCATGTTGAACTTGATGGTCTCGGCGGTGGCCTTGGCGATGCAGAGGCAGTAGCCGGAGATTTGAAACAGCGGGGTGCCGACGAAGGCGAAGAACTTCCACTGGAAGAGGTAGGCGTTGACGGCGGCCCAGAGGGCGAGGATCCAGATGACTTTCCAGTTCTCGTGGACGTACTCGGTGGCGTGGGTGAAGAAGCGGCTGACTGGGGAGCGGTAGCAGCTCGGGATCATGGCTCGGGCTAAGGACTTGGCGTGGCGGTTCATCTTGGTGCTGGCCTCCTCGGCGGAGCTGTCTTGGTTGACCATCCCGCAGAGGAGGGCCTCCAGCTGCCAGATCTCGATGTAGCCCTTGTGGTCCGGGTCCATCTCGTCCATTATCAGGGCTGCGTACGTGGCCGCGTTTTCTTTCAGTTTTGTTAGCTTGTTGGCGGATGCGCTCATGAGTATGACCTGGATCGGTTCGGTTGGTTCAAAAAAAATGTTAACTATCACAAAACATTTCAATCCATACAAAATTCCAGACTAAAGATGGAATTTAGTTGTTCTTTGTAGGTCGACATGTAAAATTGGAAAACAAATATACCGCCGTTATGTATCATATTTTTTTTCTGTTGAGGAGGATTATATTCTTCCCCCTTCCATTCACCTAGTGGTTTGCTCACCTCTTTAACTTCATTTTCGGAAAGTTTACCATCTCCATTCTTGTCACACCTGAAAGCAATACAAGTAAGAAAATGAATACACATAAGTAAGTCTCAACGAAATGAGTAAACTGAAGGGAAATGAAGGAGTGGGACTTTTGAAGCCTCTATAGGAACACATAATTAGGGTTTGCATGAAAAGTTGCTCAAACTTGAAAGAAAGGACATATTTGAAGTTAAGGTGTTGAGAAATATATGATAGCTCTCTATGGGATATAGAGATTATCTACGTAATTGCATGAGTTGTAATATAATTACGAATGATCAAGTTATTAAGATTAACGTTTCAATCTAAAATAGAGATTGTATAACAACAAGATTGTTGAAATCCTTGCGAATTATGCATTATGTGCGCAATAGCTATAACACATTTAGATGTTATCACAAACTCACATTTTGTCAAATAAAAAATTTCATCTTTCCATACACAAGTTCTCCCAATCCACAATGGAATCACTTTCTTAGTGACTATGTGCAGTTAGTCATATGAGTGGCTGGGGACAGTTTTAATTGGGTTCTCCTCTAGAGGAACTTGGCTAACTACTATGTTAGCATTTTCCAAAAGGAAAAGGTTTAGTGTAACTCAAACAACCACAACATCTAATTCATTATTACTGCATTTATTTACGTAAATTTGTGTTTATCCATGCCGTATTGGTGTATACTCACGTACTAGTGATGATTATTTATGCAAACGGTAATCTTTATTAACGCAATCTGATTTTATCATGCATATTGTTATTCATCCATACTGTTGTAAACTCAAATTTTAAATTTTGAAAATATATCAAAATAGATGTCATTTTGTAGATTATGATCAATGACTCATTTTTACAGAAAAATTGAATATCTATATTTGATCCCATAAAAAATATGGCTAGTTCAAATTATTAGGAGAGAAAAAAAAGTTTTGAAATTTCATATACGTAAATAATTATAACTCTTACGTGAATAAGCACTGAATTACATTAATAATTACCAAATGACATGAAAAAACGTAATAAAAATACATGAATTAGATTTTATGACTTTTTAGGTGCCACCTTACCTTTTTCTTTCGAAAAGAGACTACTACCGTTAAGAGCTCTTCAGCAAGACAACCCCACCCTATATGAGCCAATTTTTATTTTTCCCTCCAGCTGTTACTGGGCTGGAGACAATTAATGAGCAAGCCAGGAATGGGCCACAAGCCCATGTACAAAAAGTTCCGTCACGCCCCCAACTCCCTCTCAGGCGGTCACTGTCTTTTTCTTCCGATAGAAACTTAATAATTAACGTAACAATTACATTAATTAAATAACATCTAAAAGCCCAGATTAACAAACTTAAGCTTAGCTATAACGTCAAAAAAAAGAACCCCGCATCGCTTGCCCTACCTCTAGCGAATCGCGATGAAACCCACACAGTAAATCTCTTCTCCTAGCTAACCCAATAGAAATATACATACCACTTCACATATATTATCCCATCATTTGAAAGTACCGATAGAAACCGAAAAGGCCAAAATCTATAGCTTCCACCAGAAACAATGAAGATCGCTGCCATCGCCGCCGTGGTCTCCGTTTTGGCGCTGCTCACCGGAGCCAACACGACCACCACCGTGTCCATCAGCAACGAGCGGAGACCGCTGTTGAGCAGCTCAGTCGTCTACGTCACGTGCTACGAAGGGCTGACGCAACGTGGGCCCCAGACCATTCCGCCGGGTCAGGAAATTCCGTTCCAGCTCCAGCCGGCCGCGGACGGGTCGGGTTGCTTCTGCGTGGGGAAGTTCTCGGAGTTTGACGAAATGGGGACGCCCCGATATTACATCTACGACTCGCGGAACGCCACCGGTGATTATAATTATGGGCAGGCCCGCTGCGAGTCGACGAGCTTCTGCCGGGTCAAAGCCAACGACACGAGCTTCTATGGTTGGAACGAGGGCAAGAAAGAGTGGGATATTATCATGCCCAAAATATGGCTCCCTGGATCGGCTCCCTGAAGAAATGGAACAGAAACTATATACGGTACGGAGGATCCCTAGCTTCTTACCTCGGTTAGTAAAGTGTACAACAACAAGTACACAATATCAAGTTTTGGTCGAAGGTTCCCAAAACTTGAGGTTCATCGCAGGGAAAGACCACCAAGTTTCCAGAGTTTGATGGGTTATGGACTGTTAACAATGTTCATTGACTGTGTCTCTTCTAGTTCCTCGTTTCATACGTGTGTGTAGAATTTCGGTTCAGCTGCGCACCTTTTGTTGCTTTCATTTGCTCAGTCGGATGATATGAATGTGATTAATAATAAAGAATAAGAGAGTTGTTGTCGAGTGACTCGTGAGTGACGTTCTCTGCATGGGCAGAGGCATAGTATATATATATCACAAGGGCGGATAGCCCTGGGGCGGAGGTTTATGATGTTCCGGTGTAACCGTAAAATTTTGGGAAAATGAGCATTGATTCTCCAAAAGTGAATTTTAAGTAGTTTTCTTGTTGTTTCTAAGAGTTGTTTATTGTAGGATTCTAAAAGTTATTTGAATAGTTTCATATCTTCATGCAATGGAGTGTATAACTAGGATTGTTTGAAGGTTAAGATTCTTCAAATTAAAGTATTTAATCAATTTGTGTATTGTAATTTGATGTATTGATGAAATGTATGAATTTTATAAATACATTGTTTGGAGGTTTAGATTGTGCTTTGTTATTAATAAAAAAGTAGAGGGTAGACAATCCATTGGTCACAATATCACCTTTTGGTACAGATTGATAATCACTCATTTTGAGTGATTGTAAGTGGCTCAGAAAAAGAAAATACATGTATTCTGTCACAAATTTAACAAAAAAAAAAAGACTTAATCTTTACATTACTTGAAATCACAACCTACAAATGACCCCTAAATCTCACCTTGACCCACTTTTTGCATATTCTTCCTTTCTATTTTCGCACAACTCGTCCCCGAAATCTTTTTTTGATAATGGTGATGATTAGATTAAACAAAACGAAAAAAAAAGTTCATACAAAGGAGATCTCAAGGCATGATCTCAAAAATAAAAAGAAACAAAATAGAGAGACCAGCGAGTGCTAGACGAAAGAGGCCGCCCCTGCAAAAAAAAAAGAAGACTAATGAGAGGAAAAACATGGAAAAAATAGAGGAACAACAACAGTAGATCCGGGGGATAGCGCCCAAGCCCGAGGAAATCCAGCATGACTATGGTTGGGAAAGGGAAACAAAAAGCATGGCAAAATGTGTCCAGCAAGTTCATGAGGAACCAACGACGCAAAGAAAGAACAAGCCCGAAGTCAAGATGATCCTTGAGACCTGCCGATTTTGCCATGAGCAACAAGCCAATCCCGAATAGCGATGAGTGTTTTGTGAGTGATGAGGATGTGCTACATCTTACTGTCATTGAAGGTTCTTTTGTTTCTCTCGATCCAAATGTTCCAACAGACGGCATGAAGAAGACAGTAATTGAACCAATCTGCAATATTGTCCGGTTGATCGTGATGCCATCTCCGAATGGTTGTAAGGACGTCAGAATCAGGAGGAGTGAAGTTGCTACAGTACTTGTTGATCTCGATCCAAGTGTCCTTGATGAAGTTACAGTGAACAAAGATGTGGTCGACCGTCTCCTCGTCACTGTAACATAGGCTGCATCTATTTGCAAATTGCCACCCTCTCTTCTTCAGGTTGTCTAAGATGAGGATTTTCTTGTAAGCAATTGTCCACATGAATGCACATATATTGGAATTGGTTATCGCTAATGGCCCTGTACATAGATTTGAAAGCAACGTCGGATACCCAGGCATCCGGAAGGGAGGCAGCAGCGACGACGCGCAGAAATGTGTCTGCGATGATCATGTTGGGGATCCAGCAGTCTTTCCAAAAAGAAACTCAAGCTTCATTGCCGGGGTCGATGTGAGCGAACTTCTAGAAAGATTGGTATTCCTTAGAAATGTTGGCCCAGACGAAGTTCGCAAAACCCTCTCTGCTGCTTTTGGTTTGCCAAAAAAAGGAGCTGTGGGGGTACTTGATCTGAATAATGTCCATATTATTTTCATATGCCACACTATTTCTTTCATTAGTTTCTACTTTTATCTTCGTATCAACATTATAACTTAACAGGCCCAAAGAAGTAACTAAACATGTTTATATTTTCGATTGTTGACTTTTATGATTTCTCAAAATAACATGTATATGGTTTTCATTCTGTGACTGTGTCATCTTTCTTTAAAAATATTAAAGGGATTTGGAAAACCAACCCCCTCCACATAAGCCTAAATGGCTTCTCCACGTGTTTCGATTACACCATATTTTTTATTATTTAAATATTCCTCAACGGTTTCCGAATATTTTTTATTCAAAAAATTTCCATTTTCGTTCCTTAATTACCTCCCCTGAAAAATGAGAATCCTTCTAACATATTTCACAAAAAAAAAACCCAGAATCCTTTAACATAGGCTTCTTTTTTCCGTTTCCTTTGGTTAGGGGAGTCATGAGAGAGGCAACATGAACATAGATTATAGGATAATTGTTTACTATTATATGTGATAATTATTTTTCCCTAATAATAATTATTTACTCACCCAATAACAATATTTTAGTATATCTCATAATATTTTTTAATAGCTACGCAAAACATATCTATAAAAATAATTAAAATTTTGAGTATTTGGTTATCTTCACGCCAAACTTATGCAAAAGTGTATCCAAAAAACCAAAATATCCTTCCATTCTCTCTAGATTTTTTCTCATGACCATCATTTGGCCATCATCTAACAACTTTACCTTAGTGTTATCAACATGTAGAGACTAAATCTAAATTCCCTCGAGATTTCTTATATGATACATTAGACAGAGCTTCACTCTGTCATTGGCGGTCGTTAAATACCCCTAACTCTAGAACGAAGGATTGGGTGTCATATGCAATTCTTCGCCATTGACCCTAATTACGCTTCAAGGCAACATGACATGCCCACATGACATCCCTTTTTGGTGTTTTTGGGCGTTAAATTTTGATATATGATTTGTTG